GGTTTTAATTCTCGGGATCCATGTGAGTAGAGAGGCAGCACTGTTCCTTGCAGCCGAGGGAGAGATCCTCTCTTGTCGGGCAGTGTTTGATCATTATGGGCTGAGAGGTTAAGTGTAAGACCATTGAGGGTAATACTTGATGGACCAATCTTGCATCTACCCACAGTCCTTGGGATTTTATAAGGTGGCTTGACCTAGGAACCACTTAGTGTAAGTGTTGGGCGCATTAAGAGCCCATGGTGATGGACTCAGGGGTTCACTGTTTCCTACAGTGAATTCGGCCAGGCCTTGTAACAGAGGTTGTGCTGAGCCCATGTGGTTGATGTGTAGATCAATGTTTGGGTCCCACGCCATACAAGGATACCCAACTGGGCAGCAGTTTGGAGGCTGAATGAAGACATGGACTTAATGGTCCTAAAGCCCAAATCGAACTGGTTTAATTTGATTAATTAAAGAGGGGCGGTTCTGAGATTTAGATCAGCAGATAGAATAGGGAGTTATCCCTATCCACTCAGAGAGTCCAGATCCAAATAAAGATTTGGATTAGGAAACTCCTAATAAGATTAGGAGGGCAGATCTTTATCTACAGATATCTCTTAAAGAGAGTCCAGATCCAAATAAGATTTGGATTAGGAAACTCCTAATAGGATTAGGAGGAGCTCTCTTTAAGGCTATAAATAGAGGAGGGCGAACCCCAATTCACCCAAGCCGATTACAGATTCAAGAGAGAAGACAGCTCCAGTGAGACTGACGCCATCTTCTGCTCTTGCTTCCCTCTATTGATGTCGCCATTGCCAGTTCGTTCTCCACCAGTAGGAGTGATCAAGAAGCGTTCTTGATATTAGTTTTTGGTGAAAAACTGATCTGAAGTCGTGCTCACTCACCCTCCATCGAATTCTTGCTGAAGAGTTTGGTTCTTGCTGAAGAACCACCTACTGATTCTGCTCCACCCTACGCTGTGTCATCTTCAGTGGGAGCAGTCTTTGGCGTTTTCCTTGGGCATGAACACCTTCGTTGGGAGTTATTGTTACTCCGTATTAGGTGCACCCCTCTCCTACCTTTTGGTTTCAAATCTGGTCCGGTTTAGGGTTCAAGATTGATCCTTGAAAATGCAGTTTTCTAAAACGGGGAATGTGATTCCCACATGGGAGAGAGAGAAATTTTTGAAATTTCACCCTACCTACCTGTAGGGTTCGGCTATCCATATGGATCTCTCATCCCTTCAAGACCATTCCATGTAATTAAGACCGTCAAAGAGAGTGATAGACATAGAGAAATTTATGTTGTCCATCCCTCCATTTAGATTTCCTTGGAGAGAAGTATTACCAGAAGATGTTGAATCTCCAATGGACATTGAGCTCACTGTATTATTGCTGAATCTTCAATGTCCTATTGCTAGTAACCGACTACTAGTAGTATCTTGTTCTTAGTAGTTGACTACTACACGAAGAGATTTCTTAGTAGTCAACTACTACCTCAACAGAACTGAGAAAACTGAGGTTCTATACCTCTACAGCATTGTTATTGGAGCCAAAAAAAGTCCAACAAATACTTCAAACAAAGGGAACAACAAAGTTTCAATCACCTTCGAATAAAAAGAGGCCTTAATAAACCAATTCAACAAGAATGAAGTTAGGAAACCCTAGCTAAATAACTATCAACTTATAGCAACAAAGAGAACCAATCTCTACAACTCCAAACTACCACACTGAAAAACTGAATATAACAATACATACCTGGAGTACATCAATAAACTCCTAATCTACAGTCCATGCAAAAGAGGACAAACCCCAAAGAATACTATTCACTGCATTCGGCTGCCACCAAAAGACACCACAGAGCCTCCTCTTGGTACAACGACCAAGAGAGAAAAAGGAATAAACTCAGAAGCACAAGCCTAGTTCAGTCCAGTGAGATTTTGGTTCTCCTTCTAATCAAAAGGAGATTTCAAAAAAAAAAAAACGACCTGAGAAGCCTAAGCCCGGATCAATGCTCTAATACTATGTAGTCCAAGCTTCCAGCAAGAAGAAATAAGAAAGGAGTTGATTCAAATACCGGTGTGGAGATGAGAACTAATTTGTTCTTTTCCTTTGGAGTAAATCACAGCTAGCTGATTATTTGCATAAGTCAATTTTGCAGTGTGTAATTATGTGCTACAGATAGAACACTTCTAGAGTTTCCCAAAGCATAGGGATGATGAATTATTAAGCACAATATACAAATTGGCAGTACAACACCCAGAACTTAATGGAGTTTTCAGTCAAGAGAAAATAAAGGGAAAAATCATTAACTAGTACGATGTGGAGCTCCAATTTCCCCAGCCAATTTGTATTGGCTACATGTTCACCTGTGCAAATTCTGAACCATTAAACTCTATAATCATCACAAAATTATAGGGTACATATCTTCCATTCAATTCAAGTCAGATTTTTCTTTTTGATGGTCAAGTAGGAAGTGTGGTTCCCACTGTAAACATTATTTGAGCCTGCATTCTACTTTTTAACAGAAACCCTTTGGTACTTTCGTAGTCTAAATTTCTAAGTTCCAAGCTACTGAAGCACAAATCGTCAGAACTGAAAATCCAGTTCACATAACTTACAAGCTAACCAACATAAAGCGAAATGGAAAATTGCTACTACAAGCACGCAAAGAAAGTTGAGAAACCCAAAACCCCAAACGATACCTGGAGTGTCCTGGGCTCCTGGGCCTCCCTGATAGCCTGAACTAGAGCTGCTGTTGCAAGTGCTTCTACACTGCGGTTCCTCAAACAAGTAGCAGAAGAACAGTCCCTGAACAGCTGAAAAGCATGGTCCGAGATATCGTAATCTAGACCCAATATCGACGAGACGTCGATGATCTGCAGATAAGCCCGAAGATTGTCCACGACGACGACCCCCGGCCCCGACGAACTCGACGGCGTCGACGAAGAAGAAGACGAAGTGGAGTCCAGGGCTCGCTCCAGCTCAGCGAGGTGGCCGGCGAAGGAGAGGCAAGAACGGGCGAATACAGGGCTAGGCTCGAGTGACCAGGTGGAGAAAGCCGTGATAAATCCCGTTGGCTCAAATGGGTCTTCATCTTCGTCGTTGTCTTTGCTGTTGGTGGTGGTGGTGGTGGTGGTGGTAGGAGATGGGATGGAAGAAAGGTCAGAAGTAACAAGGCAGAGGGGGTTGTCTTGTGCCCGAAGGAGGAAGAGATCGTGAGGCTGAACTTGACGCTCCTCCACTACTCGGCCGCATGAGCAGCACTCCGTCACTGACCGGCCCGACGTGGTGGTGGTGCACCGCCCCTGAGAACCAGAACAGTAGGTGCACCGCATTTTTCCTCCTTCGTCCGGCTTTCGGCAGCGACGGGCAGTCTGACCAGTGTCCTCTGAATGCTAATATGCTCCTTCGGTACAGTGCTACTTACAAAGCAAAAAATTTGGGTCTGGGCCTCTAGAGAGCCGAGCCACAAACCCATTGTCTGCAGATGGACTTGGTCCAGTAATTTCGGCCATCTAGACCCACCATTAATCCATTATGGCTAGGGCAGGGCTATCAAATCAGCAAGGCGGTTCTACTCGATCGATCGAACCGATTATATCGGTTCTGGTTCTGATATTTTCTCCAGATTAATAATTGGGTCGGTTTTAGTTTATTTCTGCTTGTTCTGAATCGAATCAGTTCCAAATCAATTATTTTGCTAATAATATATAAATATTTTCTAATTTTTTTGTAATCTTTATTATATTTTATATTTAAAAGGATAAATTTGATAGATAATATATAAGAAAGTTTTAGTTAAAACACTTGATTTATTAATATATAAACATTTTAACAACTGCCTTTTTTATTAAGACTGTATTCTAAAAATTCAAGTCTTAATTTGTCATCCATATAAATAATCGCATTTATCGTATAATTGAATGTATTGAGTCAGACCCGATTATCCCAATTATTAATTGAGATGGTTATCAGTCTGTGATTTTGTCCCAATTAATAATCCATTTGGGACTGGGACACCCTCTCCCGACCTAAATCTGTCTCATTTAAAGGAGATCAAAATTTGGGTGATTATTTCATGCCCAACTCGGCTAGGCCTGTGCAAGTTTGGCTTCAAAATTTTGGGCTTAGGTCTATAGTTGTAGAAAAGAGTTTGGGCCCACATCAGTCTCACAAATTTTAAGGCCGGGCTTAGGCCCAATACTGCAAGCCTGGTCCAAGTTTCCTGATCACCCCTATCCAAAATCGATCCATTATAATTGGATGCAATATGGATCTACCCCTATTCAATCTAAATATTATTTAATTCAAAAATATATGTGTGTTCATATATATTTAAATTTTTATCATAGGTTCAAGTTTTGTATAAGTAAAATTTAATACATTTTTTTCATTAATCTATTTTTAACCTGAATTCGATTTGAATCTAATATAAATCCAATGGATAATATTCGATTCAAATTTAAATATAAACGAATCAAATTTTGAACTACCTATATCCAACTCGATTTGATCTATTTTAGCGGATTCATATTTCAATGATGCAATGTAAATAGGTTGAATTTAGCGTAAGTTCACCTCAATCTAAACCTGATTCAAAGCTTAATTAAGGTTGATACGATAGAGTTGGGTCCGTGTGGATTAACCACTTTACCCGATCCACTAACATTAATAACCCAATTACATGGCTCAGATTAGGGCTGACAATGGTTAGGTCTACCCAACATACCTGAGCTAACTAGCCGATTATAATGGTTTCGGTTCCAAGATTTATACTAATGGGTCAATTATGGTTCTGATTATTAGTCTTAATTATTATTGGTTTGGGATTGGCTCTACCTTGCCCCCCCCCCCCCCTCTCTTTCTCTCTATCTAATTATATACATATTAAAATTAATATTGGTTCAATTCTATGCCTAAAATTACAAACCCTACAAGGTTTGGTTCGAGACCAATACAATGCAATTTCTTGTCAGTTCAGGACCAGTTCTACTTAGGGTTTTAGGGTGCATGTGAATCTCCCGCCCCGCACCCCCGGCGGTTAGGACCAGTTCTACTTAGACCAAACTTGGACACTAGCTGGGTTGTTGGGGAGGTCAAAATAAAGATAGCTTGACCTAAACATTTTGGCTATGTCCAAGCCGTTCTACAACTATATTAATTAAGCTTTTATTTGTATGGATTAGGTGGCCCAAGCCCCTTATTCAGGCATACATGAATGTGATTTAAAATGGCAATTCCTCCAATTTAGAAATGGAAAAATATGAGGAATAAGGATTTGGACTAAGAATGAAGAACTAGGATCCTCTATAATCCCTTTTTGTACAATATGCAATGCATGGTTTTTGTCAAGCAAAATTAAGGTAAGAGTCTTATGACATTCCTAATTGAGCTGAGCTAAACAATTCACCTAATCATTATTTTTTGCTTTATGTCTTGTTTATAAGTTTGCATTAATTTTTATTCTTTTTATTAGTGTTTATTAATTTTTTTATTGCTAGATAAATTTGTATTATTCTTTCTAAGTTTTATTATTTTTAAATTGAATTAAATTGATCATAAGTTGTATTAATAATTTTTTTATTAATTATTGTTTGGAATATGTGGGCTTTGTAAACCGAGCTTAAAGTAGAAAGAACTTGTCCAACCCAAGAATTATTTTTGGGTAATGTACTATTTGATAATTTTTTTATTCTTTATATGCATTTTGAATTAGAAAATTATTTTTAAAATTAATTAACTTTCATTATTTTTAAAAGAAATCTAAATGGATTTTGAAAGTTAATAATTTTTTTTTAAAATATTTTATATTATTTTAAATGAAAGTTAAATGGATTTTATGTTTTACTAATATTTAATAATTATTAATTTCACTAATAATTTTTTTTTAATTGTTATTGTTAAATAAATTTGCATTAATTTTTATTGTTTCCAAGTGGACACTAAGTTAGTAAATTATATTTATTTTCAAGGATAGTCGAAGAAATTTTAGGACTAAGACATACACATTAGATTATGTGATTATGTGATAGAAGATGAGAGAAACTTTGGATTTAGTAAGTGATGATCATGGACTACGTTGGGTTTTTATAGTGTATTAACCGTCTTTGAGGCTGTTGGGGCAAGAGGCCCAAGCCTTGGCTTGTATAAATTAATAAAAAAATGGCTTTTAAAAACTGAAAATTTTAATTTAATTTTAAATGAAATTTACAAAAACATTTAAAATTTTATTATTTATATATTAATATATTATACCACATATAATATACCATAAATGTTTTATATCATACACATTATACTATATATTTGATAAAATATTCTGCCAGATAGATATTTGTGGGCCAGGTCATAAATGATCAAGCCTAGATTTTTTTTATTTTTTTTAATTTTTCAATAAGAGTTTATCCCTATATTAGTTATGTATTTAATATGAGAGAGGAAAATGTGGGAGAAATGAGTCGGGATTTGCTCCTCACAAAGCACACCTCACACCACAACACATCTCTCCACGAATAATAGCACACAAGTACAGGAGATGTTTCCAATGTGCAATTGGGACATGTTGTGAGGTTGATGTGAGGAGCAAATTCAGGCTCAAGAGAAAGTTACCAAATGACATACAATTTCCATATAAATTGAATAGAAAGAGAAAAGAGTGAAGCCCACAGCTTCCTTTTCTACAACTAGTATCTTTGATGCAGTTCAAGTATAAAGGGAAAATGTAAAAGAAATTTGTTCAAAGAATTGGAGAAATGAAGAAGATTGGATGAAACTCTATTAATATGATATGACTTACTATATAAGGCAACAAAGCTGGGGACTCACTCACCAAAAGAGAGGACTTTCTCAACTCTCAAAGAAGGCTCTAGGCTTCTCAAAACAAAGGAAAGAACTTGATGCCTTTGGCTTGAGATTACAAGGCTTTATATAGGGAATAAAATTAGTTGTTGGAACATTAAATAAAAGACTAGTTATTGGAGTATTAAATGCAAAACTAGCTATTAGGAGTTATTGGAATTTTTAATGAACTATCTATTAGAAGTCCACTAACAACTACCATATGATTCTATGTTTCTTAGAGCATGATTGTGGATTGCATCATTCTCCCTCTCTTGAAAAAAACTCGCTCAAGCTTTGATGTAGATATTGTCTTCCATAATTTGTCACAAATATTTTTCTAGTCTTCATCATTAATCCAAGCAACTTCTAATACGGGTTTGTCCTTCCAATGAACCAAATATTGTGTGTAAGTGACTTGACACACACTTGTTGAACGTATATTAAGGATATCAAGTATTTTTTATTTTCCAAGTGAAGATTAAATTCCTAAATCATCAATAGTAGTTGGGGACTGATTCAGGTCATCATGAAAAGGATATAAATTAGCAATGTTGAAGATTGGACCAACTGCCATTCTGCATGGTAACTCAATCTTATATGTGTCCCAATTTTCTTCAAGATGTGACAAGGGCCAATCTTCTTATACTTAAGCTTGTGGTAAGTACCTGTTGAGAACATTTCCTTCCTCAAATATGCCATGACAAAATCACCTTGTTTGAATTCTAAGTGTCAACAATGAACATGTGTAGCTTCTTTATACCGTTTATTTGCCTTTTTGAGATTCATTCTGACTTGCTCTTGAATTTCATAGATGTGATTAGCAAGTTCCTCAGCTTCCATGCTACTCTTACCTAGATTAGGAAATGCCACTTTATCTAATACATGATTTGGATTCCTCCCATAAACTACTTCAAATGGAGTCTTTTTAGTAGATCAACACTTAGAACTGTTATGTTCAAATTCAGCTTAGGGCAAAACAAAGTCCCATTGGCGAGGATGATCACTTGCTAGACATCGAAGTAAATCACCAAGAGAACAATTTACTACTTTAGTTTGTCTATCAATTTGTGGATGACATGCACTTTAGAATTGGAGTTGAGTGCCCATGAGCTTCCATAAAGTGCGCCAAAAATGACTTACAAATCACATGTCTCTATTAGAGGTGATGCTCTTAGGCACACCATGCAATTGAATAATTTTTTTGAAAAAAAGATGAACATTATGAGAAGCATCTATAGTGTTTTTACATGCAATGAAATGAGCCATTTTTGAAAATCTATCAACCACCATAAAGATAGAATCAAAGCCTTGTTTTGTTCTTAGCAAACCAAGCACAAAATCCATACTTATGTCTTCCCATAGTTGAGTTGGAACGGATAGAATCTGGTAAAGTCCATGATTTTGAGTTTTACCTTTGGCCCTTTAACATATCAAACATTGTTGAACAAACCGCTCTACATCTCAGTTTAATTTAGGCCAAAAGTAACGCTCATGAACCATGGCAAGGTTATATTTCTTCCAAAATGGCCACCTAAGCCTCCATCATGTAGTTCTTTTATAACTTGCAATCGTAGAGATCCTTCTAGAATGCAAAATTGGTTTTCTTTAAAAAGGTTACCATCCAAAATGTTGAACTTATCATTTTGTCCAACTTTGCATTCATCCTATATCTTAACAAAGTAAGGGTCAGTCTTACAATTTTATGGTAAAAGATCAAACCTAGTTACTTTAAAAGATAAAGTTTTAAAAAGACAAACCTTTTGACTGAGTTACTTTATTCTTAGTACCTAACTTGTGATGAATTGCAAATGTATACTCTTGAAGGTAAGAAACCCACTTGGCATGTCTTGTGTGGCTACCGACCCAGAGGGGGACGGAATGAGTATGGAGTGGAGTCGCCACCTAAATTTTTTGGGATTTGGGAATTTAGGAAAACCCAAGATTTTCAAGAACATTTTTTTTTTTAATTTTCTTGGTGACCCGTTGTCCAATGGGAATGAGAGATTCTTTGGGTTTGGGGACCAAGGTATGGTGTGGGAAGGTGTTAGGCACCCCACACATGCTCGGTTAAACCAGCCCTTATTTCACCAATGTTCTAAGGAATGCTTTTATAATTTTGGGCCTTTAAAAGGAAAATTACCACACACCAAATCATTAGAAAAGAAACTAATTATTCCATGAATGTATCAAGAGAACAAATATAAACAATAAGCGGATAGAGAATAGTTAGACAATTGGCAAAACCTATAACATAACTCTAAAAAGCAACAATTAACTCTAAATGGTTTAGATAATGGAGACTTAGTGCAAATGATATATGCTGCAATGGTAAAAAATGCAAATGCTGACTAAATACATGAACTAAATGGTAGAAAGATAATCAAATGCAACGACTTAAAAAAATGAAAAAAAACTAAAGCAAGAAAGGTTTTGAATTAATGCAATCACTTGAATGTGTAAATGTGGAAGGTGGAAGGTGGAAGGTGGAAGGTGCCAATTAAACAAGTGAAATTTAATGGAGTTCAAAATCAAAGAGGGGCCCACTTTAAAGCTTGAATGCTAATAACTAGGGGTGGATTCGAGCCAAGTCGAGCCGAACATTTGAGTATTCGAGCTCAACTTGGTAGGAAAATGCAAGGCTCGAGCTTGGGCTCGAGCTCGGTTCAAATTAGAAATATAAACTTGAACTCGGTTCTATTACAAAATTCACAGGTTCGAGCTTGATTCAGCTCGAGCTTGATAATGAACCGAGCTTATTCGAGCTCGAGCTCGAGCTCTCTATGAACACAATGTCCTCTGTTTTGACATCATCCTTTGTTTTTCTATTGGCATTTAATAATTTTGAAGTCAAGTCTGAAAAGTCAAAAGGTTATTTACATATTTTTCAGGATTGAAGTCTAAATAGTGGCAGTCTATGGGTTAGTTACCCTTGCCTGACCTGCTGAAAACTCAGGTCATTGAATTAATTTGCAAATGGAGAGGCTATGTGAAGGTGAAGAATTAGAAACTCTCCACACCTATTTTGTTATTTCTCTGTGTATTTATTATTTGATTACCATTGATTTATCAGAAATTAAATTGAGGGCTCAAGAAAGAAATACAAAAAAGAGAAAATAAAAAGGAGAGCATCTCGTCCTCTCTCTCTCTCTCTCTCTGTAGATAGATAGACACATTTGACAAAAATTTGGGTAGAAAAAAAAAAGGAAAAAGTGAGCCATGGAAAGAATAACCCAGAATTTGAAGATTAGACTAAGAGGAGGCATTGGCACTCATGTGAAGATTACAAAAAGGTTTTCAAGAACCTTTTAGTGTTTCTGTAGTAATTTAATGAAGTTAGTCTTATGGAAATATGTATATATTCTGTATTATTGCTATGTTCCCACCCATAATTCCATGGAGCTCAAAATATTCATTAAAGGAGTTAAATAAGATGAACTTACATGGATGGCATATAGGGCCTTGCGAAGAAATAACTGACTGCATCTCAGATGGATCTGAAACATATCCCAATCGTAAATAAGGAAGCATATCTGAAACTGCTTCTTTTTCTTTGCCTGCATATACCTATAGGAAGGTAAGTCCTTGTATTCAATGAGAAAAAAAACCTATGAAAAGTATATGTTAGAATTCATGATAAGATATTCAATACATACATGGAAAACTTGTACAACTAGCTTCTCATGTCTTTGAGCAACAAATCTCCTTTCTTGATATTGAGGAACCAATTAGAGATATGGTGACCTTATTAAAAGAAGGGCAGCAAATGAATTTCACCTCAACCATGATACGGTCATATGGATTACTTTCATCAACAAAACCATAATTCAAAAACAGCCTTGAATTTGGTTGAGGTCCACACCTATGTTAACATGACATACCAAGTTTAAGATGTATTAGTAATAAATAAAAGAAGTCAAAAAATCAGAAAAAACAAAGAAAATTATTAAGGGAAATTTTCCACCACCAACAGCCTTTGTAGAAGCAACTAGCACTGTCAACATAGAATGCATTGACAACTTAAAAATCATGTGGTGGCTAATTAAATGATCCCAAACAAGCAACCACTATACCATACAACAATTAAATCCCCAGCCTTATATGGACGGTCAACCACCAATAAGTAAGAGAAAAGTAGTGACTAATAAACAAAGACTAATGGTGCAGAACTAATAAACAAGCTATGGCACAAGCTATAGCAACCAAGTGACTTGGATTCTTAAAACAAGTGCATATACCAACCATAGTTGTAACCAATAAATCCATGATAAACAGAACGCAGGAAAGAAACAAGTGCACATACCAACCATAGTCCAACCATAGTTGGACTACAACAAAATTGAATCCAATTAAACTTAAAAAAAAAGGAGGAAAACAGGAAGGGTAGGGGGAGGACAAAACTGGTCTCTGCCTTGTTCCTGGAGTCCCCTCCATAGGAAACTCTCTCCCTCTCTATCTTCTAGAGTTGTTCCAAGCTGAAAACAATAAAAAGATTAGAAAAAAAAAACAGAAAAAAGCAAAAAAAGACACTTGAATTAGAATATAGGATGGATAAACTGAGAATTACCTGCTTCTCTATTCTCTAAGCTTCTCAACTTATGCAAGCATCAAACAATTTCAGCAGATAACTTAAGAACATCTAGTTGCTAAATCAACAATGCTAAGAAAATCCAATTAAAAAGGAATGCCAAATAAAGTTTCAACTATTACAAAAAAGGGTTATCAAACCATTAAATAAGTTTAATAGTTCAAAAAAGTAATAAACTCAAAAGTTTGATCCACTTATCAATCAATAGTTCATCCTTGAATTTTTCTAACCATAAAACAACTCAAAAATCCATAACCTAAATACTCTCATGCTTGAAACCACAACCAATGATTAACATGGCCACATCTCCTTCTCTTGGCATCAAGAGATCGGTAGAGTTATCTCAATTGACTTTTTGTCCACCTACAAACATGCAAAAGTACCAGAATTAAATCATTGATAAACAAATCAAAGCATAAATAATTAAAGTGTCACTAAACAATAATAAATAGAAGTTAAGTGTCATATACCTTATGTCTTTTCTTCACTCCATGAAGAACATGAATCCAATCCCCTCCACAAATCAGAGCTTGAACAGTTTCTAGAGCTAAACATGCACGATAAGGATCAATTACCCTATCACCAGCACTAAATGTAGATTCTAAAGCTACTGTGGATATTGGAATGACAAGAATCTCAATAGCCATCTTTGACAACACCTAATATTTCAAATTGTTAGCCTTCCACCATTCCAATGCATTACACTCATAATGTGACCTTTCATCCTCAAAAATATATACACTCTCCTCAAGGTACATATCCAACTCTGATTTCGATGAGGGAATGGTCTCAACTCTCTTCACATAATTTATCAACTTTGGCTATACCGAACTTGTTGATAATTGAGAATTGGAACTAGAACTTAAAGAATATCTATTGCTACTATTCTCTTGAGTGAAGGAATGCTCACTACTAGCATTATAAGCAGTCACATACTCATTATAGAGTTGGTATAAAGCCCCTAGAACTTGCTCAATGTTATTTCTAGCTTCAGCTTCTGAATATATTTCTGGAAAGCATATCTCAATGAGCCTTAATTTGCATCTCGAGTCTAAGATGGAACCCACAACCATTAATAGATTGCATTCACCCCAATACTTATCAAACTTCCCCTTCATCTTTCCAACCATCCCTCTAATGAAATCGTTTTCATCCATTGATTTCAAGTTCAAAATTTCCTTCACCCTATAGATCTCACTAAGGTACAAATTAGAAGTAGGATAGTCACTACCAGAAATAATGTTCGTAACTACATTGAAAACATCAAGTACCTCACATACTTTCTCCACCTTTTCCCATTCTTCAGGAGTTGGCAAGTAGTCATAATTTGGTTCCCTTTCTTGAAATCTCGGAAACACATCTTTGAATTTTAAAGCACATGACAACATCTCAAAAGTTGAATTCCAATGAGTAGGACAATCAATGACCAACTTCCTTGTACCAAGTTGTAATTGTTGTACAATTTCAGAAAATGTTTGTTTCCTAGCCTCATATTGGTTAATATATTTGACACTTTCATGCACATTTTCAATGATGTGACCAATCTCACCAAGGCCATCTTGAACCAACAAGTTCAAAATATGTGCACAACATCGCACATGGAACAATTTTTCATCACAAAGCAACTTCTTATTTCTTGAAAAAATCTCTCTCAAAAACCTCAAACATGAATCATTATATGATGCATTATCCACAGAAACTGTAAACACCTTATTCTCAAGGTCCCATTCCTTTAAACACTTGTAAATAGCATCTGCAATATCAACCCCACGACGAGGTCGAGAAACATGGACAAAATTGAAAACACGCTTCTGTAACCTCCAATTAGCATCTACAAAGTGACCAGTTATCACCATATACTCTATCCTTTGGTTTTGTGACTTCCAAAGATAAGTGGTTATGCTAATCTTTGAAATACCCTTTAAATGATTCTTCAATTTCTTCTTTTGATCATCATACACAGCTATACAATCATTCTTTGTTGTCTTCCGAGAGATCTTCTCAAAAGCAGGATTATACATCTTCATCATGAAATTAAACCCTTCATCTTCTACTACGGTAAATGGATGCTCATGCATAAGCACCCAATGAGCAATTGCTTTCCTCATTTTAGAATGATCATACTTTGCAGCAATAGTAGGATCTAAAAGAGGAGGGCTTACAATGTCTACATCAACACTGGAATCCACGGGTTGGAAATTCAATGTCATTTGCTGCTTATGTTGTTTCTCACCTTTCTGAGCCAATTTTCTTGGTATGCATGTTTTTAAATGTCAGTTCATATGACTTGTTGCCCCAGTAGATTGTATAGATAATTTGCTCTTACAATGGACACACTGTGCCTTTTTCATTCCATCAGCAAGTTCAAGCTCTTTGAATTCCTTCTATACATATGAAGTTTTTTGTCTCTTTGATTTCGGTATTGGGCCATCTTCTTCAATAGGGCTCCGAGATCTCGTCTGAGTACCATCTATGGTAGAAGGAGAGGCAATGGGATTATACTATGCATTAATTGTTGTTTGACTTGTCTCATTTGGAGAGGAGTCATCAGCAATGTCAACCATGATTATAGGGGAAGGACCAAATACAGAATGAGAGAGTGAGGGTCCTATAGAGGTTGATGGAACATTTGTTGATAAAACATTATGACCATGGCCGGGGGATGATGGAATTACTGCATAAATGGAATCTTTTTAATTCCCTAGCACTTAATGAAAATGAAATTAAATAATTAATGACTGTTAAGTGTTAGCTTTATGATCCTTGACCATATAAAAGTTTTAAATCCATATAGCTGATTTTATTATTCTTAATAAGTTCCTCATATAGTCATATCATAAAATTCTAGATTTATTATTTAGCTTCCAGTTGAAGTTGTATTGAAGTACAACTAATGTGTTAGATCCATATAGGTGACTTTATTATTCTTAAATCTTAATAAGTTCCTCATATCTTAAAATTCTACATTTTCATGGTTTGCAATTACTTTCATTTTCATGGTTTGACTATTAGTTAGGTAACTAATGAAACTAATTAATCCTACTATTTTAATTATATTCCCAACTATCTTTCTTTTTTTTTTTTGTTAAAATTCTTTATTAAATTCTATGATTCTAATGCAGTTATGCAAACAAAGAGGGCAAGAAGGAAGAACCCCAAATAAGAAATGCAAGATTTGAAATAACTACTCTAAACTCTAGTCTCTAATAATTAATTGCATTTTGCATATCTATTTTGAGCACACAAGTATGAATAGATATGCAAAATTAATAAATTAATGAATTAATAAATTTATTTGCATATCTATTTGCATATCCATCAACAAATTAATAAATTTCAGGGTGTTACCTTTGAATGTGATTCTACGAAGCTGTGGTTTATTCACCCTTAATGGGGGCAATGCCACAGCCCGCAGGGTTCTTGTTGGTGCAATCAATCCTTCCAAGTTCGAATTTTGAGGTCCCAACTCCTAACTATAGTCTATAGAGAAGAACCCCAAATCAGAAGAAGAAGAAGAAGAAGAAGAACTCACACAGTCATATCCTCTAGACCTGCCGTTGCCAGTGCTCTTAGAGTTGAGAGCTGAGAACCTAAGATCGGAAGGCTCCTTAGTCCTCCCACTTTAGAGTTTCGATAACTAGGTGAGAGTTGAGAGGGTGAGACTGCCAACCGCTGATTGGCGAGAGCTGTGGCCTATGAGAGCAGAGCTGCAGGAGAACGAAAGTCTGAAAGTCAAGAGAAAGAAAGGGTTTAACCGCTTCCCGCTTAGGATTTTTGATTGAAGAAGATGAAAGATTTTTCTCCCTCTCTAATTCTTCTCTAGTCTCGAAGAAGTATACTATGTGTAGGGACCATGGTATAACTGTGTCCCAACCAATAAAATTTTCTAAAAAGGTATATATATACTTATATATATAATATGTATAATATAAACATATATATATTGATATACATATAAAGAGGCTCGTTAGGCTCGCGAGCCTAACAAGCCAAACTTTAACATGTTCGAACTTGGCTCGATTGACAGACGAGCCATATATAAAGCTCATATTTGGTTTGAAGCTCGGTCTGGGTCGAGCCGAGCCAAGCTTTTCACGAGCCGAGTTCGAATAGCTCGTGAAAAGCTCGGTTCATGTCCACCCCTACTAATAACAGAATCCACTTTAAACTTAGAAACAACACTTACACACTTTTTCTTGAAGGAAATTAGTCTAATTAGAGTCCTTCCTAAGAAATTAACTAACCATGCAATAATCAAAGCTAACTATTTTAATACATGAGACTAGAGGTGTCAATTGGATTGGATTTGGTCCAACCCGATCCAGTCCAATGTGAGTCCACTTATAAATGGACTGGACTAATCCAACCCAAATCCAATACAAACCAAATTCAATACAATCCATTAAAATGTAAATGGATTGGATTGGATCCGATTCAAACCGAATGAAATATCAAAAATTATATAAAAGCACTTTTGGCACTAAAAAAACACTTTTGTAAAAGTACTTTGATAAAAACATTTTCATAAAAATGCTTTTACAAAAGCACTTTATTAAAAGTACTTTGTAAAAGCACTTTATTAAAAGTACTTTGTAAAAGCACTTTTAGAAAAATATTTCCATAGGCTTTTATAAAAGTACTTTCATAAAAGTGCTTTTATAAAATTGCTTCCATAAAAGTGCTTTCGTAGAAGTGCTTTTGTAAAAATCTTTTTCTAAAAGTACTTTTGTAGAATTGTTTTTGTAAAAGTGCTTTCATGAAAGTACTTTTGTAAAAGTGCTTTCGTAAAAGTTCTTTCATAAAAGTACTTTTATAAAAGTACTTTTGTAAAAGTTTTTTTGTAAAAGTGATTTCATAAAAGTGCTTTCATGTAGAAGTGCTTTTATAAAAATGGTTTCGTAAAAGTACTTTTGTATAAGTGCTTTTGTAAAAGTGATTTTATAAAAGTACTTCTGTAAAAGTGCTTTCATAAAAGTACTTTTATAAAAATGCTTTCGTAAAAGTATTTTTATAAAGTGCTTTAATTAAAATACTTTTCATAAAATTACTTTTATAAAAGTGCTTTTGTAAAAGTGATTTTATGTTGGCTTCAGTTTTGATTGATTTCAAATTGGACAAGGGTTTGGCCTCATGGTAGGATTATTGGAAATTTGGTTTAGGTCCAATTCAAACCAATAAGAATATGGACCAATTTGTTTTGGATTGGCCCAATCCAATAATTATAATGGACCATCCAAATCCAATTTGATAAGGTTTGGATTGGATTGGATCCAAACCAAAACCGATCGATTGACACCCCTACATGAGACAAATAATAAACTAATTGAAATTAATTAAATGCACTCTTAATCTAAGAAACTTGTTTTTTTTATGCAAAAAAAAACTTAGAGGGGTCCATATCTTCTAAAACAATGTACAATGAACTAAAATTAACGATGTATTGTCAAAGTAAAATCTTAAAGAATAACAGATTATGTGCCTACAGTTTTTAAATTGACTATGACTCAAATATGACTAGAGAAAATAGTTAAGAGAAAAAAAAAAGCTACATGTTGGGAGTAAGGCTCAAATATGCTATATGAACAAACATTATAAAAAGATAGAGTTCTGGTATAGTAAGAAAAAAGGATAGATGGTTAAGTATGAAATTGACTAAAGAAAAGGGCATAATAAGCTAAATAAATGGCATGAAACAAACAAGGACAAGAAAATGAAGGTGACTAAAAAATAAGTAAATCACTAAACTTGAAAATGCAATCCAAGAAATTTGGTGTATTCATCGGACAACTAGGTTGATTAATCCTAGTAGACTACATTAAAAAGAAAACAAGAAATTAAGAAATGTATAACTATCATGCATGCTAACGGGTAAAAAACAGAAAATACGAAGAAAGAAAAATGAATAGCAATCATGCTAACGGGTGTACCTTATGAAAGACTTTAACTAGCTGAAATTGTCTTGTTTCCACCGATGCATTCTCCTATGACAGCAAGCGTATTTTCAACAATGTCTACTTATAGGCCTCTATAGGATGGGTTAGTGATCATTCTACTACACTGTTGTTGCTTCAAGAACATTTCAAGTTTTTCTTCTTGAATTGAAGCGTGACCCAAGAGTGTTCTTTGGCTTCAAACTGATATGAAGCGACTTTAGGGATGTCGAAGAGTGAGTGGCCAAGGTCTTGGGACGTGAAGGGGGTATTCTCTAGGCTAATGGGGTAGAATTCTCTCATTGAGTTTGAGAAAAGGGGGGGAGGGGGTTATTTATAGATTTTTGAGAGGGGAATGGAGGGCTGAGATAGGAAACGAGGGAGATCAGTGGATGAGGTTTAAAGGGTTTTTGGAGGGATATTGATTGAGAGAATGGGCTGTCAAGACAACTTTGGGAGAGATTCTCTCAATCAATCAAGACAATGAGTGGAAGCTTTCACCAATTTACCTAAATTGGAAATTCCACGTTTAGGTGATTGGCTTGATTGAGATGGTTCTAGAGGCTGGGAGAAAGGTTTGGTCGTAAGATTCCCTAAGTTCGAAGTTGTAGTGAAGAGGATTCCAAACGGAAGGTCTGGATCGAGTCTAGATTCGGGTCTCAAGATGGAGGGGTTAATGGTGTCTGAATTGGACGATATTGGTATATTTGGACTCAGAATTTCGAGCTCTATCCATTTACTGGGTTGAATTTTTTATTTCATATGAAATAGGGTTCAGGATAAAAAATGATCCCGATCAGACAATCAGTATTGGTTTCGACTTCGGGGATTAAGATGAAGGGGTAAACGGTGTCGGATTTGGGTGATCTTGGTGTCATCAGATTTGAATTTTTGGGCTTTATGTAACTATGGTTTTGGATTTCTGATTTGATGTGAAATAAGGTTCAGGGTCAAAATGACCCTAATTAGACGATCGGAATCAGTTTCGGCTTCGAGTGATAAGATGAAGGGATAAATGGTGTTGGATTTGGGTGATATTGGTGTTGTTAGATTTGGATTTTTGGGCTCTATGTGCATATGGTTTTGGATTTCTGATTTGATGTGAAATGAGGTTCATGATCAAAATGATTTCGATCGGATGACCGGAATCAGTTCCGACTTCGGGTCTTAAGATGAAGGGGTAAACGGTGTCAAGCTCAGGTGATCTTGGTGTTGTTGGATTTGGATTTTTGGGGTCTACATACCTATGGTTTTGGATTTTTGATTTGATGTGAAATAAG